CACTGATTTCTAAACCGACACACACTTGCTTGTAGTAAGTATGTCTGAAAAGATGAGTGTTGAGGAGTAATTTGTTGAAATTGGTGGCTCACAAGGTTGTTATTATCAACTGTAGATGAAAAGAAAAGGTTCTTTTGAAAAGCCACTGTTAATGATTAGCCAGGATTTGTGTTATGTGAGCCAGCGCTGATATGACCTCTAAAAAGGCACTATTCACTTCAGCTTGACTCACAGAAGCAGTATGGCCCGAATAAAATTTAGTAATCGAATATGGAAAGTAGGGAAGGCATTTAAAAACTAATCATCTGTAAAGGTTTACTTAGTTATGTAATGTGTAATTAATGAGACATAAAAATAAATCTACCATTTGCCGGTGCTATTGTTTGCTTTAGAAGTAGTGGAAGAAGATATAAAGGGTGTTCTTTAAATCACAAATGACAAAAAAAGCAGGGACAGTTAATTTAAATATTGTTTTTTTCTTTGTTGTTGTTTTTCTTTACTACATAAATCCCCTTTACACAGTTAAAATAGATGCACCACACAATATTATAAAAATGCCATGACATCATACAGTCACATATTAAGTAATTATTAAGAGTTTTTTATGGCATTGGTTTACAGTTCATAAGCGGTTGCTTAAGTTCAATATTAGGGTGACATCATCAGGAATGATCGCCGAAATGTTGACCATGATAGACGTGTACAGATTATTGTCACGGATCTGGGTCATTTTGACCCAGCATTTTCAGTTTATTGTATTTTGGTATTTTTCTGTATTATTGTTTATGTTCTGATTCTTTAGTTATCCTGTTTTGAATATTATAAATCTATGTTTCAGTTTTTTCTGGTTAAGGGCTTATTTCTTAGGTTTGCTTTTGTGCCCTCGTGTTTAGTGTAGGTTTAGTTCAGTGTCAAGTCTGCGTCTCTGTGAATTTTTTCTTGATTCCTGTTTTACTTTGAAGGTCCATGTCTTATGTCAGTGTAGGGGAGACCGTGGAAAATTGTAACATTTTTGACATTTTTGTCTGTAGCTTGGAGCTCTTTTAAGGTAGTGTATTCAAAATGTAATGCAAAGTATTTACATGTCTCTGCTATTAAATAGTACAGCTATTTTCTCTGAAAAGAAATATTTATGTAGCTATGTGTGTGTGACAGAATGCAGAAATCGAGCTTTTGAACATATTCCAACAAGACAAATTATGGAATTTACAACAACTGAATATTTCATTAATTTTGGTTGGCCTTCCTTGAGTTTGGCCTCATTGACTCAGTGGGCATTGTAACCTATAACTCTTGCACCAACTTTTGAACATAACAATGAAGCTGAAAAAATGTAGTTGTGCACCAGCTTCATCAACTGAACTATGCATGTTTGTGTCAACTTTCTAATCTATCAGAATCACAGTGGTGACAGACGTATGGCACTCCTGGCGTGCAGTCCTCATGAGCCCACAGTGTACAAGTCAGGCACGTCAAGCTTCTTTTGGGTTTGAGTTATTTAAGTTTCCATGCACATAATACAGAAATTCTCATCAGCGTCTGAGGAATTTGTGTTGTCCTGTTCAGTGTTTTTCATTTTCAGATTTCTCTTTCGCGATGTTAAAAGCTTGGATTGTTTTAAGTTTGCCTTGTTTCTGGCACAGCCTCTTCTTTGG